TGCTGAGTATTATTCAATAGTAGCATGTAGCTAAAGCTATTTCCACAACACTACAACCACAATTTTTGTTGTTTCTAACAACATACATGCATCACATATGTTCCTTGCCTAAATAAACAAGTGCAACTCAGCAGCATCAATGAATCAACCAGTGAATCAACCAGTGAACATTCAGTCAGAGAGACAACACATTAACTCATTTTACTGAAGTAGATCATAATCTAATGCTGCCTTCAGTATTATTAAAGCATAAAAGGCTGTGTTTAATCTAGTTACAAAACAGATCCTGCTTGGTTCTATCTAAAATATTATTTGCTGCTTTTATTCAAGGTTTTATTTTAGAAGTTCCTGTTTTTGATGGTCCACTTAAAATGAAAACTGTAGTGTAGTCTTCTTAGGAAGTTTTTGAAACTTTTAAGATTGTTTTTATTTATTTTTTACTGAAGACTTAATTGATAAAAGTTCAGTGACTAAAAGCTTTCAAGTCACTGTATTTGACTTTAAAATGAGAACGTAGTCATGCTTGGTCATGTGACGTCAACAAAGCAGAGTTGCTTGTTCTGGCATTTGAGATGTGCTACACTCACTGCAGTCCCTCTGCCAAAGTGTAGACTTCACTACAAAGACATTCTGCCACACAGCAGAAATGGTACTTAAAGTTGCATGGGAAGTTCATAATTTATTTGCTTTACATATAAACTTTGCAGCAGAGTTTGTGATGGTATTCCAAATAATACAGCTATTTTATAAACTCCAGGATACGTTATGACCATAATGAGTTACTGTATATCTCAAATATCTAACAAGTTATCAAATGATTTACATCAGTCCAAAAAAGTTCAATCTGGTCCTCTGGACATTAAAAAAAAACAAAAAACAAAACAAAGCAAAAAAATCTAGAAACGTTTCGTCTCTCATCCAAGAGACGAAACGTTTCTAGATTTTTTTGCTTTGTTTTTTTTTTTTTTTGAATGTCCAGAGGACCAGATTGAACTTTTTTGGATTTTTCTACCTGGATTATTGAGCATGCATCAGGAGATTTACATCAGTATTGGTGACAAGAGAGTTTAGATGAGTACTTTCCTATTATTGACTCATTACCTATCCAAACACCTTTCACCCATTCATCCATTTAATACATTCACTCGTCTATCTGAATGTTTTACTCACTTATTCCTGTTCAGGGTTGCTGGGAGCTGGTGTCTACCTCCAGCAGTTACTGGATGGCCGTCACCTCCTTGTACAAGATTTGTGCTACCTACCTTTTTTTCATTCAACCTTTATGCAGACATGTTACATAGGCGTAGCCAGGATTTTATGAGGGGCGGTTCGTTTGAAGAAAAAGTGGACCTGTAGGACTACTCTGATTGGTTCATTGGCGGTGGTACACATAACTTCAAATGTGTAAACAAGCTAATTAGCTAGCTAGTTAAAACACTGCTGTGTGAGGTAAATCTGTGTTACCAAATAGGCGGTTGTGAGTGGAGAAAGAGCAACACACTGAGAGGGGAATAGCGTGTGTGTCCAGTCTTCTATTCAGAACTCATCCCAGACACGAACGAACACTTCGGTACTCCCGAGTCCCGCCCGAACATACACAAAAAAAAAAAAAAAACACCGAAGAAGAATGAAAGACGTCATCCTCTTAAAGGCACAGTACCACTCCTTAACTCTAACAACATAAATGCAAACTAAGCCCGCAAATAATAACATTACTTCAATTGCAAAAATAACTCATCTTTTTACTTTGCTTTGTTAGACATTGTTTTTTATGAATGAAATTAATGAATTGAAAAATACAATACAATCCACATCTATCAAAGTGGGCGGTTCGTTCGAACCCCCCGAACCCCCCCTGGCTACGCGCATGTGTTAATCCCATTGAGCCTCAAGGACTCATTTACAAGTGAGACCTGATTTCTTAACAAACAGTGATGACAGCAATGGATAACAACGACAACAAGACAGTCATAAAATAGGCATACAAATTTAAGTTTCTTTTTTTTTAACAAATCAAAACCAAAGAGTAACCAAAAGGACAATCAAGAGGAATAGTAGCAAGAAAACAGTTAGATCACAAGGCGATTTAGAAAACTAAAAACAGGAACATGTCTGCGTTGGCTTTTGTATATATTCCAGATATTCCAGGAAACAGGGGCGGCATAGGAGAAGGCCCTTTTGCCTAGTTCAGACCTCACTGAGGGAACACTGCATGTAATAATGTCCTGAGAGCGCACGCTGTAGCTGCACTCACGCAGAGACATGTAGGAGGAGATGTACAAAGGCAGCAGACCAAGAAGTGATTTAAAGATGAAAATGTACCAGTGAGAGAGTCTGCGTGAAGTTAATGATGATCATTTATTACAGCCGGTTATGAATCTTAATGCACTGTGACAAGCAGCATCCAGCATCTTTTGGCTTCTTGTTCGTTCTTGCCCAGACTATATTGCCTTTATTTCTCATTGCATTACAACATTACATCTTTCTTTTCTGTATTTCCCCATTTATTATGCTCTTTTTATAGATTAGTTTGCACTAGAACAATGTTTTAATAAAACCCTTTCACCCAGAGAATATGAGTGAGCTGGAAGAACCTAAACATGACTAATCATAATCAACATTATGCCTCTGCTGCTAATGAGTTGTTAGGTGTTTTCATTTTGTCAAACACTTTTGTTACTTCAGTCCAATTAAAACAAAATGTATATTGCTTTTCCATTTAATTTGCATAACATTGTTTTTTTTTGTTCATATTGTTGTGTGTGTGTGTGTGTGTGTGTGTGTGTGGGGGGGGGGGGGGGGGTAGGAGGTTGATCTCTGGGTTTGATGTTTTGTCACTTTGAACATCAAAAGCCATCTTGCAAAATTATAGTGTGGCTCAGTTGAAAATGAAAGTTTTGAGCAGCTGAGAATCTGATTAAAGTGCTTATTTTGACACATGAGGACGATCAGACAGAAAAGGCTGCAGCTTATTTCCATAGCTCACATTCAGTTTCTACCAACACTGTAGCTCAGACTGAAAATATTACATTTTTTTATTTTGTTTTATTTTTTTGTTTATGTGTTTTGATAATAACAATTACAGCTTGATTGTACTTCCAGGAGGAATTACAGGTGAAATTAAAAAAGGTGATTTATCAGTCAACAGTTAAATTGCTAATACTAGGTTAAATCATAAATTTCTATATTTGTATTTCTGTCCCTCGAGCTCATTTGTAATAAAATGTAAGAAATGGAATCTTGACTGTCCCCACTGAAGCACAACAGCAAATATAGGATGTTTAAATTAGATGCAGAAGTGCTTACGTCCAAACTTCAGAAAACAGCCTTTTTTTATTCCAATCTCTGAAGTGTAAAGTCTCATGGAGGCACTGCATTTATTTTATCTTCTCTGATGTGTGAATTTCTTCCTTCAGAGTGTAATTTAATATAATCTTGTTTATATTCCGTCATCATTTTGAACACAATTAGCTAATCACACACTTTATGATAAAACAAATACGATTTTCTTTTTTATCACATTACATTACAGACAATGCAGCTTTATTTCACTCAAAAGTAAAAGTATATACCTGTACATTCAGGTTTGTTGCATGTGGTCAGAAGTAGTTGACATTTCTAAAGAACATTTTTCTGATGACCAGGTTCCCAGTTGTGAATTGTTGCTGATAAATTGCAAATGTGAGGTTATTTTTTTCTTGAAAGGACAGAACTGCTGGCAGTAGAGGAATAGGTAAAGTTTATCATTCAGGCAGCAGACCTGCAAGGGCCCAAAACTGTTCTAGTTATTGATGTGCATGAACTTTTGGTTTACACAGATCTCTTGTGCCTACTGGCTTAAAAATACAAATGTTTTTTTCAAAACAACAACAACAAATAATGGCATACATTTGTTGTTATCTTAAGGCTAGGGGAGTTTCATCTTCTGCAAGGTCATGGGCACAACATCACAAAATGTATAATGGCTTAAAGTTGTTTTCAACCAACAGTTATTGACTTGGCTTTGTGGTTTGTGTACTTGTACCAAGCATGAACCAAAATCAACCATTTTATTTTCAATAGCAAAACATATCTCTTCCTAATCAATTTGTCTTCATTAAGGAAATAGAAAATTGTAATTATCTTCAGAAGGTATGAGATTTGCTGGAAATGTTCTTTGCAGGATAAGTAGATTTGTGATTTGCATAAAAATCTCACTCGAGGTTGAGATACTGAAGTAATTAACTTTTGCTGTTATTCAGAATCCTAATTGAATATTTTTCATTTCTTTTTGTTCAGTTTCATTTTCTATTTAAGTTTATTACAAGCACAGTCTTTTGCCACCCAAGCCCATGGGTTATGTTAGAGAGAGCATCTGGCTGGCTTGCTTTTGCCAAAACAAACATGTGAGGTTGTCTAAAAGACACCATGACAGAGCAATTGAGACAGAAGAACTGGAAGAGGCAGAGCTGAAGATGTTGAGGTTCTCCTCGGAAGTGACAACGAGGGATAAGATTAGAAAAACATATGATCAGAGGTACAACACAGGTTGAACAACTGGACGTCAAAGTTAGAGAGGCCAGTTTGAAGTTGTCTGATGTGCAGAAGAGAGATAGTGGGTCTCTTGGTAGAAGGAAGTTAGAAATGCAGCTTCCAAGAAAAAAATAAAAATAAAAAACTAAGAGTAAACCAAGGAGATATATGGATGCAGTTAGAGAGGAAATGGAGGTAGCTGGAGTGAGAACAGAGGAGGCAGAGGACAGAGTGAGATGGAGGAGGATGACTCGCTGTAGCGACCCCTGAAAATGGAACAACCAAAAGGAAAAGAAGTTTAAGAGCACTGACTGTTGTTTGCTGGTGGCTAGTTTTTTTATGTGTAAAATGTGTTGCATTTGTTTAATTCTAAATAGTTAAAGGCCATAGTATCAAAGCAGTGTTGTGCATTTTTGCATTCCAAATCCATGTTTTGCTGAAGTCTTTTTCTAACTGTGACGTATGCTTTGTTTTTGTTTTTTTTGTAGTTTCACTGGAAGTTCAGATCACACCAACACATGGTGAGATTAGTCTTGGCGAGTCCAAGTTCTTCATGTGTGATGGTAAGTTTCACCTTCTTATTTTCTTTGCTTTTATTTCACCCTTCATCTTACACCAAAATAACATTTTAAGTTTCCACAGTACAGTATTATAAAATGGTCTACAAAACAAAATTTCTCCACGTTTCTTTCCTTTTAGGTAAATCAAGTTCAGTGTAGTGCAGAAAATCAATAAGCAATATTGAAATACAGTTAATAAGTTGCACATATTTTACGCATATTCCTTATGGTTCTGAATAATTTCAGTTATGGAAAAATACACCTTGATCTCCACAAAGACAAAAATATGTGTAGTTTTTGTTTGTTAGTTTGTTAGTTTGTTTTCAATTATTAGCAGCCCCTTTTATATTGGTGTAAATATTTTGTGTGTACTGTATATCTAAATATAAATGTATTGTTTGGATATAACTGATAAAATGCAGGTTCATTATTCATGTGCTCACTGTCCATTATTCTAGTTCATTACCATATATTTGGCTAAAAGCAAGCGATTTTTTTGTAGGTGAAAGAGCTTGAAAGTATGATAAGATAAAAATAAATGTGGTTTTCATTCATGATTAAGTAACCATCATACTTTTTTCTTACCATTTTAATCAGACTTGTTGCCAGCTAATATGTTTTGAAAGGAAAAAAAATCAGTTCAATTCAATTCAGTTTATTTATATAGGGCCAAGTCACAAGATAAGTTGTCTCAGGGTAGAAACATTCACATACATAAAAAAGCCAATCAGTAAAAGTTATATCTAAGGAAGCTAGCAGATTGCGTTGAGTCTTCAATTCATCGCAGTCTCCCATCCTAAGCAAGCACAAAGGCAACAGTGAAAAGAAAAAAGTCCCTTTAACAGGAAGAAACCTTTAGCAGAACCAGGCTCAGGACAAGTAGCCATTTGCTTTGACTGGCTGGGGTCTGAGAGGACAGGAAGGAGGAACAAATAAACACAGAATGGCAGGTCCAGGTGTACTTTCTTTTGGAAGGAAGAATAAAAAAAAAAATCACATGTTAAGGATAGAAATAATTACAAATACAAACAGGTGGAAATACAAACAGGTAGAGTAGAACAAGTAAAGACAGCAGCAGCAGCAGAGTGAGGAAATGTGGCCAATTTGTCCTCCAGCAGTCTAAGCCTATAGCAACATATTGATCATTCAGGAAACCTAAACCAACCCTAACTATAGGATTTATAAAAAAGCAAAGACTTAAGCCTAGTCTTAAAAGTAGACAATGTGTCAGCCTCACAGACAGAAATTGGAAGTTGGTTCCACAAGAGAGGATCCTGATAACTGAAAGATCTTCCTCCCGTTCTGCTTTTGGAAACTCTAGGGACCACAAGTAAACCTGCAGTCTGAAAGCAAAGTGATCTGTTAGTAAAATATGACAATAAGATCTGTAATATAAGATGGAGCTAGGTTGTTGAGAGCTTTATAGGTTAGAAGTAAGATTTTGAATCCAATTCTGAATTTGACAGGGAGCCAATGGAGATAATCTAAAACTGCAGAAATATGGTCTTTCCTTCCAACTCTAATTAAAACTAATCAAGGCAAAGTTAAAATTTACAAACTACAGGCTTTGGAAACTTCAGAAAGATGTACCACCTACATTCTTCCATTTTTTGGCAGTATCATACTGTAATGATGTAAAATTAACCCTTATAGATGCTTATTTTCTGATCTGCCTCTCTGTTGTCTTTGTGTTTTTAGTTGTAGGCGCTGCCAAGCACATAGACTGGTTTGGTCCAAATGGGGACAGACTAGAGCCGAACAGACCAGACCTGACGGTAACCCGTAACGATGAGTCATCTTCCACCCTCACAATTTATAAAGCAGGAACTGAAGATGCTGGGACATACAAGTGTGTTGCTACCAGTGGAGACCAGCAAGGCGAGGCAACTGTCAAAGTGAAAATCTTTCGTAAGTAATCACCTCTTCTCATGCAGGACTGTCTCCAAATTATTGAATGCTATGAACAAAGAAGAAGAAAAAAAATCATGTTTATTGAACTTGTATTTTATTGACTGCTCAAAGGCAACACATTACTCTTTTTCTTTTCAAGTGAGGGTTTTTCATTAATTCAATAAACGGTCGGAAAACCATTAAAGGGCTGTTTAATGATCCTGTCTGTTGTGCACTTCTTGTGAGTGATGGGCTTTATTTTCATTGAATGTCAAACATCAGCAGATGTCCATGTAATGAAATCTGTTTTCAAACATAACTTTTATTTTATTTCAGTGCCTACTTTAAGTCTTTATTGAAAATAGCCTATTATGATATCTGTGCTGTACAGCATGTTAAATGCTGTGTTTAGTGCAATATTTTACTAAATAGGACTGTGTAGCTTTTTTTAGTTTTGTAGTTTAGCACAGTCAGTATTAAAGTGTTAAGATTTAAAAAAAAAAAAAAGATAATTGGAACTACTTACCATTTAAACTCTTATAGTTCCTTTAAGTAGCTACTGCGAAGGTGAAAGTAGGTATTTAATTCAACTGGAAAATAAGTTTTGAAACATACCAATTTCTAGATTGGAGACTGTGTTTGTCCTGTTTTATTACAGAAAGAATAACTTTCACAAATGCACCCTCCCCTCAAGAGTTTAATGAAGGAGACAATGCCAACATAGTTTGTGATGTCATCAGCTCTCCTCCTCCCACTGTCTTCTGGAAATATAAAGGGGCCAAAATACAGATGGAAAAAGATGGTAAGAATTTTCAAAAACTTTTATTTAATGTACAGTAATGCAAAACATTTAATAAGCCTAACTTCTCACATAATGCTAAGTAATGCATGTGAATTATGGAATATTGATATTTTTTGTTTTGTTCTATCTGATATTTAACTATTTTTACACCAAAATAAAACTATATTATTGAAAATTAGTATGCAACGCTGAGCAAATTATTTATGTTTTGTAATTAATTAAAACTTAATGTTTTACGTTTGGTCTTTACTATGAATAAGTAGTAGTATATTGTATCGTATAATATTATAATATCTATCCTTCCATCTATCTATCATGTTTCTTATACCAATCCTATTAAATACTATGGATATTTATAATTTGTGTACCCCTCCAAAAAAGTGTTAAGCATAGCATACACATCAAAGTAAAAAGGCTTAAAAACACACATATGCACCTAAAAGCAGGCCACTTTATGTACTTTTTCATATGTATGCAGATTTGCCAGGGTTAGAAACTTGAAAGCACTGGCGCTATGCTGCTCATACCTTTCTTCTCCAGGGTTTGTCTGAGCTTTGAAAAGAAAATTAATTTTGGTCTTGAATTTGAAAATACAGAAGACTCTTATTCTCCTTTGACACTGAGCAATATAACATTGCTTACTAGAAAATAATCACAAACATTCATGTGTGGGTTGCAGGAGTTTTTCAGAGGGGTACAGTTTTTGGTTCATAGCTAATTTGAAACTGAAGAAGTTCACGTTGCCCTTGGTCATATTGCTCTTTTGCTCAATCTTGTAGAAGAAGCAATGATTCATAGACGAGAACACCAGTGGCGGTCTCCAGACAGAATATACTTAGTAGAAAATTAGACTGAACAAAATAGTATGATGTTAAAACATGTAACATTCAATAAATAAATAATAAAATTTAGAGCAGTTGGGTGTGCTGAGGGCAGTAAACATCTGGCTTGTGCTGTAATGTCTAGGATTTCATCAGCAGCCTCATAACTGTAAGCCTTTGTAAGCTGCTTTTTGTTACAATGCCACAGGTGGGCTGTAAACAGAGGGATGGAAAAGGCTTTGAAAAAAAGATATCTGCACACTCAATATAAACAAAATTAATTTATCTTTAAACATTTGCTTGTGTGTATAGCTAGCATCACTGTCTGTAAATATATCTGTCATCTACAAGAACCCTGGTTATGTAATGCCCATAATGTTATCACACATCTTGAGGGCTGAGACAGAAATAATTAAAGTTCTTATTCTTCTCTTTAAAATGATGAAAGTATTTATTTGTAAAAGATTTAATGTCAAAATCCATAAATACAGTTTAAGTAATAACTCATGTATACCATTACTAAATGAAAAGCTATGAAGTTATAAAATACCTGCATTGATAAAACGGTAAATGAGATTTTTTCTTTTATTACTAAATAAAAATTGTTTCAGTGTGAACACAACTATTCTTTTCTTCAGGTGTAAATCTTTGCATTGCATGGTTTTTAGATTTATTTTATCAGATTTATCTTTAATGATGGCCTTCTTATCCTTTACTAATACAAAAAAAAATCCCACTGTATTAAACTGAATTGGATAAGAAACAAAGTTTAAAAATGTATGCAGCTGATGGGTACAGGCAGTCCAAGCAACATGTGGCTCGTGAGGCAAAAACTCAGACATAGGAGTTCGGAGAGGCCATGGAGAATGACTTCCGTACGGCTTCGAGGTGATTCTGATCCTATGTCTTGGGGGGGAGGGGCGGGGGAGCTGTACACCACCAACACTGTTTATAGTGGAGGTGGTATGCTGCTGACCTCAACTCGGGATGTAGTGGGTCAGTGAGCGGAGTACGTCGAAGACCTCCTCAATCCCACCAGCACGTCTTCCACTGAGGAAGCGAAGCCTGGGGACTTTGGGTCGGGCTCTCCAATCTCTGGTGCTGAGGTCACCAAGGTTGTTAAAAAGCTCCTCGGTGGCAGGTCCCTGGGGGTGGATGAGATTCACCCGGAGTTCAAGGCTCTGGATGTTGTAGGGTTGTGTTGGCTTACACGACTGCAATATTGCATGGACATCGGGGAAAGTTCCCCTGGTTTGGCAGACTGGGGGGGGGTGGTCCCCATGTTCAAAAAGGGGGATCGTAGTGTGTGTTCCAACTACAGGGGATCACACTCTTAAGCCTCCCTGGTAAGGTCTATTCGGGGATTCTGGAGAGGAGGGGCCGTTGGACAGTCGAACCTCAGATTCAGGAGGAGTAGTGCAATTGTCATCCTGGTTGTAGAACAATAGACTAGCTCTACACCCTCAGCAGGGTCCTGGAGGGTGCATGGGAGTTTGCCCAGCCAGTCTACATGTGCTTTGTGGACTTGGAGAAGGCGATTGACCATGTCCCTCAGGGAACCCTGTGGGGGGTACTCCGGGAGTATGGGGTACCAGGCCCTTTGATACGGGCTGTAAGGTCCCTGTATAACCGGTGTCAGAGCTTGATACACATTGCCAGCAGTAAGTCAGGCTCGTTCCCGGTGAGAGTTGGACTCCGCCAAGGTTGCCCTTTGTCACAGATTCTGTTCATAACTTTTATGGACAGAATTTCTAGGCGTAGCCAAGGTGTTGAGGGGATCCATTTTGGTGGCCTTGGGATTGTGTCTCTGCTTTTTGCAGATGATGTGATATTATTAGCTTCATCACGTTGTGAGCTACAGCTTTTTCTGGAGCGGTTCACAGCAGAGTGTGATGTGACCGGGATGAGGACCAGTTCCTCCAAATCCGAGGCCATGGTCTTGAGCCGGTAAATGGTAGAGTGCCCTCTCTGGGTCGGAGAGGAGGTCCTGCCCCAAGTGGAGGAGTTTAATTATCTTGGGGTCTTGTTCATGAATGAGGGAAAAACGGAGCAAGAGATCTATAGGCGGATAGGTGCGGAATCTGCAGTGAAGCAGGTGCTGTACCGGTCTGTCGTGGTGAAGAGAGAGCTGAGTCAAAAGGCGAAGCTCTCAATTTACCGGTCGATCTACGTTCTTACCCTCATTTTTGGTCATGAGCTTTGGGTTGTGACTGAGAGAATGAGATCACGATACAAGTGGCTGAAAAGAGTTTCCTCCGCAGGGTGTCTAGGCTCTCCCTTAGAGCTAGAGTGAGAAGCTCAATCATCCAGGAGGGACTCCGGTAGAGCCGCTGCTTCTCCATGCCTAGAGGAACCAATTGAGGTGGCATGGGCATCTGGTTAAGATGCCTACTGGACGCCTCCCTGGTGAGGTGTTCTGGACACGTCCCACCGGGAGGAGACCCAGAGGAAGACCCAGGACACGCTGGAGGGACTATGTTTCTTGGCTGGCCTGGGAATGCCTTGGGATTTCCTCGGAGGAGCTGGCCCAAGTGGCTGGGGAGGGGGAAGTTCTGGGCTTCCCTTCTTAAGCTGCTACCCCCCGTGACCCGACCCTGGATAAGCGGAAGAAAATGGATGGATCAAAAAAATGTATGCCATTAAACTAAAAATTATAGAATTAAACTGTATTATATTTTAATTATAATTATTATTATGTAATTGAATTAGACTTGTTTTTTTCTCTCTTTTTTTTAACCGCACCCTAAGACTTTTTTTTTTTAATTGGCACTCTCACGCTCTATAAATTAACTAAACAGAAATGAAATTGTATACTTTTCATTCAAATACTGAACCATGAGCCACTTATGGATACTGTATGATTGCTACTTTTTATATTGCATGCCTAAAATGTTTTGTTTTAGACTAATTTGAACAAATTATATTTTAATGGAAATTTATCCATGTCACATAATTATACCACATAAGAATTTGGCTAAAAAACATACTTGATTCACAACATTTCTCTTCAAAAAATATTTATGCAACTATATTTTTGCTTCTTTTTTCAAGTTACAGATATTTCTCATCAGTTTAAGTAGTTCTAAATTTTCAAACGACCAATTTGAAATTTGCACATTTATTAAATAGAAAATGTCTGTCCTTTTTAATAAGTACCATTTTAATGATAATGTTTTTAGGAAATAAATCAACAGTATTCATATATTTAAAGGAAATTAACTATTAGGTACTGGGTAATTCATATCAATGAAGGTTTCATGCATTTTTTTACATGCTTGTTTTACAATAGCAAATAACTACCATTTTGTTATAAACTTGTGAAAATAAAACTTGTAATAGTCAATGTATGCTGTTTCCTTTAAGTCCGTTTTAAGGTACTCAACAATAACCACCTTCAGATCCGTGGCATCAAGAAAACTGATGAGGGCTTGTACATGTGTGAGGCTCGCCTCATGGCCCGCGGCGAGATTGATCTGCGTGCCATCAGTGTCGTCGTGAACGGTTAGCAACACTTTCTACTTTCTTTTTGTTCCTGGACACATGTTTTTGCATGACAGGTGACAATTAAATAAGCTGTTGAATGTTAGAGGCGACCAGGCTCGGTATCATTGTAGAAACAGTTGCCCATAGCAACTGCTTATCAAAGATAATTTATGCTAATAAAATCCGTTTCTTGCAATTTCTGAGACTAGAAAATTAGTTGGCCTAAAATTAGTTGTTTGTTTGTCACTGAAGCAGTTTCTGTCAGTTTTTGCTGGTTGTCTTTCTTAGCATTTATAGTACCAGTCAACACTTTTGAAACGCCTACCCATTTTCCCATTTTGGGAAAGCGATCCAAAATTTTGACTTGTTCTTAATTTTAGTTTCAATGACAGTCTTTACACGTGTTTGTTTTATCTTTGTATTTCTTTTCTTGTTTTATATCCTTGTATTTTTTAGTACTTCCAACCATCAGAATATGGCAGTCAGAAGTAAACGCCACTGCAGATGTTGGTCAGCCGGCCATGTTAACGTGTGCTGTTGATGGCTATCCTGAACCTATGGTGACCTGGGCAAGGTAAATGTTTTTTCTTTATGAGTGATGCTTGTCAGTGCCAACATGTTGTCATAATATCGGTTTAAACCATGTTTATTATTTTTGGGCATAACAAAAGTTTTGTCATGTTTGAGTAATTTTTGAAAACAAACAAACAAAAAAATCATAACAGCCTGAATCAATCCTGAAGTGAATCCTGAATATTTAAAGTTACAGCATAAAAATCTTAGATTCTAAAAACCACACCATCTCTCTAAAATAGTCTGCCTGGAAATTGGGGGTTTAGCTTTAGTCAGTGAAAAAGGCCCAGAGGATTTGTTAATACATAGCATCAGTGGAGGTAAAAGCTGACAGGAACAAACTAATGAGGCAGGGCTAATCAAAAATAATGAGCTGTGTGGGTTGTAAGTGGACCAACAAAAAATTAGTTATCATCTTGAAAATAGGCGAACATTACTTCCACAGCTTAAGATTTTCCCACAAGTTTATCGAGTGGTTTGTTTCAGAGTTGCATCTCTTCTTGCATAAGAAGTACTAATTAGGCACGACAGTCAGTATAAACAATTATGGTTCTGTGATGTGGGTTGTCTTTCATTCCAGAGAAGGACTACCCAACAAATAAAGTTTTACTTACAATTAGAGAGCAATCGCCTCAGTTGCACGTCTTACATATTTTGAACAACACTGTAAAACATGCAAACTAGTTTTACAATTATTTATATTAATATAGAGTAATTGTTGAAAAGGAATGTCAACAAAGTCCACCGTTGATTTATTATATTTCTGTACATAAGACAGTAGGTTTTTAGAGACCTTCTAATAGATAATTTATTCGTGGCAATAGGACGCTTAATCACAAGGTATCAAAGGTGAACAGTGAAACCTGAAGAGCAGCATGTCAACAATAGGCACATTATCTGTGTATCTGAATACAGCCATTGATAGACTCCTGCTTTGTTAAACTGTTTCCATTTGTCTGGTTTCCAAGACAGCAGATAATACTGCAGACATCTTAGACCCTGGGTCGCAAAGTTATACCAGTCCAGGAGCTACAGTTCACTTTAGCTTCCCGCGCTTTGTTATCAGTGGATTCAGATTTAATCCAATTAGAGAGCACCAATAATTTGCTGAAAATGTCACTGAAACACAAAAACCTTAACAGTCAAGCCAGAAGGGAGAAAACAGTTTTTGCTTTACGCAGCTGGCAATGGTGCACTGTGAGGGGAAAAACCACACAAAAGAGCCTTAGGAGAAGTGCAGTCCTCAAATAATTGAAAACAAACTTAGAACAAACAATTATGTGGCCAAGACTAAGCCCTTGTTTTTGAGGCTGTAGTACTTCCTGGAAGTGTAGACTAAAAATGCCCTTTTGGTGAAATCCACAGCCTACAAAAAGAATTGGCCCAGAAACAGAGTGGTCATCTGCCGGTTAATCTCAAGCCACCACAATGTGTCGACATGTCTTTGGGCAAGACACTGAATCCCCCACTGCCCACCAATATGCTGAATGGGCTATAAGTGAGAATATATAAGTGCTGGATATAGTGTGAAAAGTATAATAAAAAATGTAACCTTTAATAAATTGCTACCTTAATGTGGTGAAGGGGTTTGAGTACCCGTGTGATCCTAGGAGCTATGTTGTTGGGGTCATCAGCCCCTGGTAGGGTCTCCCATGGCAAACAGGCCACAGGGGGAGGGGTCAAACTAAGAATGATTCAAGACTTTGATTAAAAAATAACAGTGGCATCAGGAAACCTCTCCCGGAAAAGGGAAATGAGGGCACCTCCTTGGAGCTAGGCCTGGGGGGAGCTCATTGGCAATCACCTGGTAGTCAAGCCTGGAATCCTGGGGCTTGGCCTGGCCAAGCCTGAAGAAATAACAAGAAGCCACCTCTACATGGACCCACCACCTGCATGGAGGTTGGGCCAAGGTTGGGCAGTAGAAGATGGAGATGGAGACATTTAATAAATGTTACTTGGTAACACACCAGAATCTTGGCCTATTGAACTCAAAGCATGGCTTTGAACAAAAGTTGCTGAGGGAGTGGCTCGGTTAAATAACCAGAGCACTTTAATTAACTGAGACAATTACACAAGTGGTTTAGACAACTACATTAACTGCACTATGCTCTCAAAAAACAAGCTAAAGTGCAAAAATCATGTTCAGTTACCTTGACCATATTCCATAAACCTATAGGGAAGGCTGATCTTACCAAGTTAGTTTCTATCTGTGAAACAAGTCGAGCCAAAAGAAGTGACAGAACTAGTTGAAACATGTTGACATGACAAAAAAAACTTTTTTTTTTTTATATGTGAACCTCTCACCTTTTTGTTCCGTCCAATTTTTAGCAGTCCACACTGGCAGCAGTCTAAAAAAAAAACAGGACTGGAAGGAAAGTCAGTATGATGGCTATCATAAATTTTAGAATCCCCTGTCTATATTTTGCACTTTATACTTGTATACAATAAAAATATATGGATGTGGTACATGGTATATACATGCATTCCATTCTGGAGCAACAGAAACTGTTTCTATATCTTTCAGATTCTAAATTGTTGCTGTTTTTCATTAGTACACACTGACCATCATTTTTTTTAATGCTAAAATATGATTCACACAAAGTATTTGTAATTTTTTTAATTGTTGCAAAATAATGCACACTGCTTCACAAAAAAAACAGTTTTCTTTAAGAGTTTCAGCGTTCACATCTTCTTTTAATGCTGCATTTCTGCTCAATCTTTTGGCCTTTCTTACTTTTTCCTCCAGAATTCTAGGAAATACTTCAGGTTTTTTTTCTTTTTTTTTACTTATGTATTCTAATTTTAAACAAAATAGTTGTAAAGTGGTGTTTGACAACAGCTTGGACTGACTAATTTAGAGTTTGATATCTGTTCTGTTGACAGAAATGGGGTCAAACTTGAGGACGAAGAGAAGTACGGTTTTAATGACGATGGCTCAGAAATGACAATAATGGATGTTTCCAAACTGGACGAAGGAGAGTACACCTGCATTGCCAAGAACAAGGCTGGAGAAAGTGAAAAAGAGCTCAGCCTGAGAGTGTTTGGTAAGATCAATTGTTGTATATATTGTACACACATGAACTAGTGACAATGAAACAGTAAAATGATCCAAGTGAGTGGGAATGATATATTTGAGCATGTATGTGGAGGAAGAACAATAGTAAGGTTTTGTGTCTGTTTTAAGACGGACAAGAATAAAGTGTTGTTCTTGTGTGGGTTGTTGCTGAAAATTTCACAGAACAAGTAAACAAGGATCAGCTCAGTAGATTTATTTTCCCCCCCATTATGATGTTCTTCTTGGCATTTAGTTTTAGTCACAATAAATATATTTTCAGTTCAAATCATAATATGAGTTCATGTCGTTATGTCAGTTAAATTTCTAGTGTGTTGGCTGGAGCAATTTGTTTCTCTAATGTGAAGAGGTGCCCTTTGTAATTTCTTCAAAGCAAACAATTAACACAAAATTATTCAAGACAGCAGTCAAAACCTATTGTGTACCTCATTGTTTTCCTAAGATTTCATAATATTCACCAAATTATGCTTGCCTTATATATAAAATGCTTCAATCTCGTGTTTTTTTTTTTGTTCAGATCCACCTCTGCATATAAAAATCCAAAATGTGGATTTTCAGAATCATTATTTACATTTGACCAATTCTGAGTTTGGTGTAAGGTGTCCACCATCACAGTTTTTGACTGGATATTTATATTTTATAACATAATACATCCATTATTACTTGTTAATAAACTTGATGGCACATATTAGTCTTTGCACATTTGTCATTTGAGTTACTTAAACCACAATCAAAAAGTAATATTGAAAAAAGAACATCAGTTGTGTTTTCTCTTTTCCTCTTGAACAATGCAGTTTGCATTAAAATGAGTAATTTAGTTTGTGTGATAAATATCCCTAGAATATATCTGATGGTATTACAGTACTTTAGATAGAAGGAGCAATCCAAGAGTTGACGAACAGAAAAATCTCAAAGTTCTCATATAGTTTTAAAGTAAGATTCTAATTTCTGTAAAGGGCTGCATTTAGATCAGTAAAGCACAAATTGCTATTGCTGAACACATTTGAATGCAGAACATTTAAGAACTGCAGTACCTGCAAGGCCACTGCAAAATGTATTTGTGTTGTCCAAGGCCTCACCAATTTCATACAATAAACTCACTACATTGAATTTGTTACCATGCATTGTCTTATCCGTGCATTCACCATTCATTGAGTGGAATAAAAATGATGAGAGCAGTCAGTAACAGTCACCCACAAGCCTCTGAAGTAGCACTTCAGTTTGCTTTGCTTTGCTCGTGTCAGCAGTGTTGCACTCTGCTGTGCTTTAAGGTTAACTCATGACAATTACCTCAAATGTGGACTATAATGAAGACGCCATCCTTTGAGATAGAGTAAAGTGGTATGTTAATTACATTTATATTCACCATGGTGATCAAAACTGCTACTGGTGGTAAAGTTGAAAACATTTTTCAATAATAGAAACCCTCTCACCTCTTAACAACTGCTCCTCATCTACCTTTGAACTCTATTTGCATGTTCTGCCAAAACACCTGACTACTTTTGTTTAGCATAAGTAGATATGTAATCATCAGGGTTGTGTTTTACAGTTAAACCCAAGATCACTTACATTGTAAACCAGACCACTTCAGAAATGAAGGAGCAGATAACTCTGACATGTGAGGCAACAGGAGATCCAACGCCTACCATTAGCTGGAGCTACGGGGAGCACACCTTCACCGAGAGCGAGCAGGTAAAGTCATAAAGAAAGAATAGGTTACTTTAATAGTCTCTAAATAACTTCGCATCTAATGCTCTAAAATATATTTAAAGAGCCAGCATCCTGCAGATGTTCCACCTCATGAAATAAAACAAATGGATTTACTTTATGTAAGAGGTGCATCCTGTAGTTAAAGAACTTCAGCTTTAGGCAACTACTACATCCAAAAAAAAAACATTTGGAAAAATACAATAGTGCCAATTTTTCACTTGTAATAGCACATAATCTAATCCTTAAAAAATGTTTTTTTTTTCCAGACTGTATGTGATAATTTCAAATTTTAAACATTTCTAAAGTTTCAGTTTTCTGATGTACATCTCATGTTTCGTACTTTAACAGAATCGAAATACATTGATTTCTTGTTGATTTACTTACTTGAGTATGCATTGTTTGTGATGCATTTGTATGTGAAATTGGGACACGTTTAGCAGTAACCACCAGGGAGGAACACAAACCTGCAAGCCACAGGTGTTTTGAGGAGACAAAGTGAATACCTTTAACCTACTTTCAAATGATATATTGATTTGGCGCAGGTGGAGAACTTCACTGCAACAAGCTTTATTTGCCATTGATTATTTACACCGACTTAGCTGTTGTTTTGAGATGGTCTAGTGGATCTCGTTATCATTTAGGTGAAACTTGTCAGGGTCAATTGAATTCATTGATGCCACTTGAGTTTCTTTGATGTTAAAGATAATTCTATTAAGAAACCACTTTTTATTTTCCAAAATAATTGTATAAATTAGGACAGATGAAGTTTGCTTATATGTGCTAGAATGAACACTTGAATTACCAAGTGTTTGTCTAGGGTTTTCAGTCACTTTTATTATAATTTGTTTATGCCACTTGATTGAAAAAGGGTTGTTTTTTTATTTAGTTGCTATATTATCACTTATATTGCTTTATTTTAAGTTTGTTTGTGTTTGAGAGGCAGTTTTTAATTTTCCATTACATCTTTAATCTCTTGGATGTTCCCTTTATAATCATTGCACATCTAAATCATTAAAAAAAATAATACCTGATTGGTATTCTCATGCATCTGTTGTCCACACGGCGCATTTCTTCAAGGTCTTGGTGTCTCTTTGCAGCTGAGAAGGAAAAAAGTGGGTTATGCTTTAGAGGTAAACATCAGTTCACAGAGAATTTCTGGAACCAGTCCATTACATACGCTACATTTTCTCCCCACAGGTACATCTAAACAGGATCTATCAGGTATGAAATCCACGTGGCACAGAAATGTCCTGGAGTAGTGTGTAAAATTTGTCTTCAGATACCACAAAAACTCCCGCTGAAATCAAATTTGTCCTTTGTTGAAAATTTCCCAGCTGCTTCTTGAAAACCCCAAGGAGTGATCACATCAGGGCTCATGAAATTGATTTGACCGCTGCATGATTTCCAAATATAGTTTAAAAACTTCTCTGATCTTGTAATAGAAAATATCTTTCTTACAAGATCAAATGAAAGTTTGGTTAATGACACAATAAAAGGGAAACATCATTTCTGTGTTGCTTTTGCCTGATCATTTCAAACTTTCCATCGCAGCATGAGGTTACCGTTCAAGCACAGCTCAGTGTCTCATCTCCATGTTACTGTAGACTGTCTAACACTGGTCCCAGTACTGCATACAACTTGAGGTTAAAGGCGCTCCACTTAAAGTTTATCTTTTAAGTATCAAAGCTGTATGCCTCTGCTGACAAAATAAAACAATTAAAATAGCTGTTACTAAAAATAGATGTGGCCTGGGGTATAAAGGGAAAAAAAACTGGCCACTTAAAATCCATTTCAACTGATATGAATTCAAGCTGACTTCATGCAAATGGGACATTTCACGGCCACCTGTCTGTTAGATATTTAAAAAATACACTTTGATTGGAGCATCACTCAGAAGTGCAAAACACACTTCCACCATATGACGCACTTCATGACTAGCCTTTTTTTCCTCCATTTCCTTTGTAAGTCGGCTCACCTTCTGTGGCTAGCCACTCTGGCACACATGGATGCACTGCAGAGTAACAGTCTACACCTCAGTTCTATTATCCAATGTCAAGTTCCCACGAGAAGCCTGTGTATAGAACACATCTGCCAGCTGGTGTGCCTCGACTTCCTCTGCTGTCACTTCCAGTTTGGCTTGTTTTTTGGTCTTGAAGCTGTAATGGATGAGGAGAGACTCATTACTGGTGAAAAATAAAATTCAAAGCTTCACATCTCACCTTCATATCATAAAAAAAACATTTCCTGGAAGGTTGTTCTGTTCTTGTGAAGAGCAGTTCAGTATGTGCAGGCTGGCCATGTCACACAGTGTTGTTTTTTTATTTATTTATTTTATTATAATAAATAAATGCTAGACCCGATAGTATGCACGACCAGTTATTTTATTTTTGCACTTTTGTGTGTGTGTGTGTTGAACTATGTCACATTGCACATGTCAGGTTTACAGTAGTGGCAGTGTGATTTGTGCTGTAGTGTACTGTATGCTTAGTGATCTGTGCCATCTCTTCACAGCTGTCCTAAAATGATTAGCAGCCATGCATATTCACAATGATGCTAATTGTTTAGACTTTCCCTTTATGGCTTTGATTACCAGCAAAATAAACTGTTTCTGTGGTGAGCATTTGTTGAGTACACAAGAGAAAGGGCTGCTAATTGTTTACCTGCTTTGTTTGTATGTCCGTCCGACATACCACTTGTAATCACCACAACAGCTGTATGTTATCCAGGATGATTGTGAAAATGTATTAACTTAGCAATTATTAAAGGTGAACATGATGAATAGGAAAAAAAATAGGAATGTGCCAAAAAGCATGTTTCCGTTAACACACTGAGGTGAGATTTTCATATTGGTCAGAAAACTAGCACAGATCTGTGTTCTGAGAAGTGTGATGCTGATTAATAACCAGAATTAATTAACAGTTCATTTGAATGTGTTTTCAGTTTTGTTAGGCTTTTTAGTCGGTCAGATGCTATCAATTCTAGTGCATGAGTGTATTAACAATAGAAAAAGATATTTTATGGAAAACCACTATATCATAAAAATAATTTTATTTATAAAACGGAACTTGAGATTGAGGCTGTTAATTTAGATTCAGTTTATCTGGCATTTATGTATAAGAGACATAATACAGTGGCATTTTAGTTATAAATCCATTTCATCATTGTTGTACAGAATAACTGTACATCATGTGCTTTTAAATCTCATACTGAAGTTTGTTTACTGTGTGGAGTGGAAACAATATATACCAGTAAATCATGTGATCTTTAAATGCGTGCACCAACAAGATCAGGGCTGGTTGGGTCAGAGGTCCATTGAAGGTATTTTCAGGTCGGCTGCCATGTTTTGAAAGAATCTGTAAAGATTTGCACTATTTTTTTAATTTTGTAATTATTTATGACAGATTTTGACCACAACTGCAGCAAAAATATTTAAGTGTTCAGACGGTCTGATTCCTGCTTTGGCAGCTGAGCTGAATGCACTTCTTTCAAGAGATCTCTAACCCATCTAGTCCTGGTCTTGATGGTGCATGCTCATAAGGATTGCATGATTCATGTACAGTATTACCCATTTTGCACTTGTTGTCATGGGTGACTGCTCAGTAAATTAAATATAATACAAGCTTTGAGTGAGGAGGGGATTCAAAAACCAAACCATCAAAAATGCACGTTTAGATGTTTACTTACTTGATGAGCAACATTTGTTGTGACTGATGACTAATTAACAAAACTCATTTTACTGATTTGATCTTGTGTGGTAAATGCATTTATAAAAAAATATTTGCAAATCAGATTTGTCAGGAGTACTTGGCAGCAATTTTGATTCACACCCACAAGATGTGAATCAAAACAATGTGAAAGGGTAACATTTGCAAAAAAAAAGTCCTCATTAGTTAAGGAGTTAGAGGAGGTTTTACCTGTTTTGAAAAAGAGTTGATTTGTATTAGTTGCATTAGATTATATGGAAACAACCTGGCATGACCTTACTCACTGTCTGTTTTCCTGTCTGAACTGGCACACCAAACCCACATGACTAACTGGTATTTTTGCATATTTTTTATACAATGTATTATTCCAGGTATTTTCTGAGATAAAAGTAATTCCAAAGTGCTCCCAAATTTTCCTTTTGCTATATTTTACGGTTCTTCGACGAGATTTGTTTCAAGCTAAGTCAAACACCTTTCCAAATGAATTTAAATCACAGGCAGTGTGGTTCATATTGACGTTGTAATGACACACACCACCTATTTTTTATAAAGTTATATTGTATTTCCTTAAAGTCAGGAAATGACATGGAATGAAGTTGCATTTCTATTTTGTGCCCCATTAAGGAAGATGCTCCAGATCTTTTTTTGCTCGTGAATAAAAATCCAACTTATGTTGAAGCTCTAATTAGGTTCTATATCTGGGTTTTCTTTGGTCTTATGGAGTTCAAACGTTAAAATGAGGAGAAATCAATTCATTTTCAGTAACCTGCTCAGCTGTAGGCTGATGAAAGCATTACCCCTCAACCATTTAAAGAGCAGCACTGTGTGACGATTGAGGATTACTGCTCACTGAAAGAAAAGGAATAAAAAGGACTTTGTTTAAAAAAGACGACTTGTGAGAATGTGTTTGCTTGGAGTTACATTTCAAATTTAAATTTGTGCTCATCTGGGGTTAGTTTTGTTTGTGTTTCTACAGCTATCAAAGTTAAGTGTTTATACGTTTAATTCAAAAACTTTCATGATTTTACATGTGTTTTTTTGGTTCACTCAATCCTTTGAAAGCATTTCCTCTGAGTTGTTTTAGATAAGTGTGTGTTTAATAACTGAATATGTAAATGAAGTATTTATCCATGCTTTGTACATTATCTTCATAATGAATGTTTTGCCAATTTGAATACTTATTAAACATTCTCCTTGATGCAGACGCTTCAAGCTGCAATTATTTGGACATATTCCGAGTAATACAAAGTAAGGGTGTTGCAAAATGTTCCTTTTTAA